GATGCCTTTGAGTTGTAGTGCTTAAGAAAATTGTTGAACATACCATGGACCACCAGGAGAACAAAGAAATCTGTCTTGGATCTTGTCAGAGATTTTGAAGCTCCATCTCACATACTTTGGGCACATGCCCAGGAGGGATTGATCAGTCTTTAGAGAAGGACATCATGCTTGGAAGGATGGAGGGACAGTCCAGGAGAAGACAACCTAGATGAAATTAATTGACAGAGTAACTGGGGTAATGGGCGTAGGTGTGTTAGCGTCAGTGAGTCTAGATCAGGATAGAGCAGGGTTCAGAGCTATTGTATATAGGGTGGCAATCATAGCTGACTCAATGGCACATAACAAAAAAACAGGTGTAAACAAGACTATATAATGGAATTTAATTTAGGGAGCACTGGTGGCCTAGAGGCAAGAAGCTGTGCTGCAAACCTGAAGGCACACAGTTTTAATCCACTACCTGCTTTGTGGGAGAAGGATGGGAGAAGTCTCTTCCCATGTGATTAACTGCCTCTAGAAACCTGTGGAGGCTCAGAATGGTTCAGTTCCAACTGGATGGTACACAAGAACAACATAGCTTATTTTATTATCTTTGATATTCTAAATTACTAAATTCCTTATATTCTAAATTATTAAATCATGTTTATGTTAATCTTTCAGAACTAGAAAGTTTACTCTGCTGCAAAAAAATGAACTTAAAAAGAACTTTTCCCCTTTCAAAATAAAGAAATAAAATTACAAGAGCAAGGGAGGATATTCTAAAATGTAAATATTGCTGCTATTAGGTGCTTTCAAGTCAGAACCAAGTAATAGCTGTTTATCCAGAAGGTTTTTCAGAGGCTGTAAATTGCACAGAAGTGGATTGTCCATCTTTCTCCACAAGAGAAACTGGTAGATTTGAACTACCTACTTTTGTACTGGCAGCCAACTCCTTACCACTAGGTGACCAAAGCTCATTCAAAATATACACAGTTATTATTTAAATGTTGTTGTTATCATGCACCATAGAGTCGGAATGAACCCATAGCTGGGTTTTCTCTGAACCCCGTGGTGGGTTTTCAGAGGCAGTAGTCACACGGGAGGAGATTATTTAAAATAAAGAATAATAAATGTACATAGTTATTGTTTTATTATAAGGCAAGACCATAAAAGCTCAATCTTCAATAAATAATGTTTATTTGGCTTTCCCATCCATCCTATAGATAAGAAAGTTCTAGGACTTCAATGAAAAGGATTTTGTTCTCTGTTTAATTTCACTTTTCCATCTTTGTTTATTATTGACTGACTCTTAAAGAATATATAGGAGATACATATATACATATATACACACACACACACACACACACACACACACACACACACACACATATATATATGAGGGAGCTCTGGTGGCAGAATATACATATGTATTTGATAGTGAGCTCAGATTTTATCTGATGATCTAAGTTCTATCATTTTTAAAAATTTTTTATTCATTGGCTTAAAAAAGTTTGAGGAACCTTGAAAAGATAGCAAGATTGGAGTATGTGTGTTCCTCTGTGTGTGTGTGTGTGTGTGTGTGTAGTTGTGGTGGTGGTTTACTATTTTCCTTTCTTAGACCAAGACTCAGAAGTGACTTATCTATACTTCCCTTCCATCTCTCAAGAGAGCGACAAGAGTCCACGATTAAGGCTGCATAGTGGAATGTACTTGGGGCTGTGGGAGGGGTGCGGGGAGGGTATTGTGTAACGGGAAGGGAGTGTTTCTTTTACTTTTAAAAGAGAAGAGTGAACTGGGGAGGGGGGGCGCGGGAGGTCTGGGCGGGGAGAGAAGTGCAGCAATGAATGAAAGGAAATTGAAAATCTGTGTAAATGCTCATTAAAATTCTTTTAAAAAAAGAGAGAGAGCTACCTGGTGGCTTAGCGGTAAGGAATTGTGCTGCTGATGCAAAAGCATGCCACTGGAATTCACTGCCATTCCATTTCCTGCCTCTGAAAACCCGCTGGAGTGTCAGCTATATGTCACTCCCAACTTAGTGGTATTCAACATTTATTACATAATGTCATTTTTGCCAATAGATCATATCCTGTCTTTTGCAAGTCTTGATGTATTTAAATTAAGGAGCTCAAGTCCCAAGATCTTCAGAAAGCAGGAAAATATATAACATGTTTTAAAAACGACTTTCTGGCTCAAGATATTATGGCCTATATTTATTACAATCCTAAATCTGTGCCACATAGAGAAAGTAATAAACATTTTTGCTAAACTAAATGGTTTACTCATAGTTTCTACAGTTAATTATTTCAATTAGAAAATAAAATTCCATGTTGGATTGAGGTTTAGGTTAAAGAGTTTAATAATTCTTAATATTTTCCTAGGAACTATTACCATTTATTCATTTCATATTATAATAAATATCACATTTTTACAATTGTGATTGTTGGAATATAGTAATTTAATTCTCTAGGAGCTCTTGTGGTCTAGTGGGTAAGGAATTTTATAGCCAGCATAAAAGTAGATGGGTCAAATCCACCAGCTTGTCTGTTAAAGGTGGACAGTCCCCTCCTGTATGATTTATAGCCTCTGAAAACCTACTAAAGGGTGAGCTATGAGTTGGTTCCTACTAAACAGCAATGAGTATTTATGTATTTCATTCTCTTTATGTTATGGAAAATGTATTTATGGCCACTCTTGTGTATTTTATATTTCTACAAGAACCACTAGATGTATGAAATGAAATGTTGGAAAAAATGTTAAAGATATAATAAAAGTTTATTTTATTTCCCTAAAAGAAACTTTTCCAATCTGACCTAATATTTAATATTGGCATCTGCTCTAAATAATGAGCCTGAGAAGAGTCTTTACATTCAGTATATAGAATTTTATGTAATCTCATTGGTGACTTGTTTTTGTTGTTGTTGTTGTATGCCATTGAGTCAGAATCGAGCCATCCTTGACTCTCCAGTGAATTTCCAGTCAGTAAATCATAGGGAGGAGATTGCCCATCTTTCTTTCATGGAGCAGCTGGTAGACTTGAACCACTTACCTTTGCATATTGTCTTACCATTAGACCACCAGAGCTCCTTAATGGTAGTTTGTTGTTGTTGTGTGCCATTGAGTTGGAAATGACCCATAGCTGACCCTCCAGTAGGTTTTCAGAGGTAGTAAATCACATGGGAAGAGACTGCTCATCTTTCATGGATGTGAACCAGGTGCCTTTGAGTTGGCAGTGCAACTCCTTACCGCTAAACCACCAGAAATTGATAGCTTAGTGGCAAGAAATTACTCTTTCAATCCAAAGAAATGTGGTTGGATTTACTGCCTCTAAAACTTGCTGAAGAGTCAGCTATGTGTCAGCTCCAGCTCAAAGGTACGTTAAAACAACATCAACAACATTATTTTCAAATTGGGGCACTTGCTTTCCACATGTTGTACCTTGTATTCTTAAGGCTGGCAAACCCTCTGCTTCAGCCTCTCCAAAGATTAAGTATACTGTCTGGCTCTGTTTATGGAATTTCGACCTACTTGCTTGTTTCCAGCCCTTTTCACATCCTTTGTCTTTAGAGAATCCAAGTTCTAAACCCATCTGGGGTTCTACAACAGAAATCTGCTTTTCCCAGAGGCTCTTGGATGTCAGTGTTTGCCTACCTACAAGACAGCTTGCCATTACTTAATCTGCTTTCTAGGTTCTAAAAATGTCTTGTTGACTCTCATATGTCTTTACCATGGCTGCCATTTTAGTAGAAGAGAGTGGAAATGATAGTAGGGTTGAACAGAAAGAAATATTTGTGTTCAATAGTCTACGTTGTATTTACCCTTTATTTTTCAAATGGAGTGTTATGGGATGTTAGGAGTTGTTATTGTGTGCCATCCAGTCCAGTCGACTCATAGCTGGCCCTCTAGTAGGTTTTCAAAGGCTGTAAATCTCATGGAAGAAGATTGTCCATCTTCCCCTCATGGAGCGACTGGTGTATTCGAACCTCAAGTCTTTGAGTTGGCAGTATAACTCCTTCCTGGTAAGCCATCAGAGCTCCAAATGTTAGGGGTGCAGCACTAAATGGTTTTCCTTAGACACTCTTTGTCTTCAGTTCTCACCTACAATGTACCCAAACATGGCGGTTTGTTGTTTTGGAAATGTACAGTTGCCTTTTCTTTTGTGAATTATTCACATATATTTTATATACTATATCTAACTTTTTGCTTTTAATGCAAAGTAGTGAATGCAGCAAAGACATTCTAATTTACCCTTCTCATGTGAATTAATTTAAGTTTTATTAAGGAAGAAGTCATATCTGTGTAGTTAGAGGTCATATAAATAAAAATATCTCTGGAAACAATCAAATTAGAATAAAAATGCTCAGTTACCCATTATGACTGCTGATCAAAACATAATGGTGACATAATATTCCAGGGAGCACATTTATAGAATGAATGTCTCCTAGTACCTAAGTGAGTATACAGCCTTTTACTAGGATTACCAAGAAAATTATAGAAAATATATTATATACTGAAAAATTGAAGAAATTAAATATAGTTACACATTTGTTGAAATCTTCAAACCACTATAGATTTTTTAAGTTAATCTCACGTTGGTTAGATGTCCTTACTAAGTTAAAGACATCTTAATGCCATATTTTTTAAATAAACGATTTCTGTTTTATACCAACTTTTTCTTTACAAGTACAATGTGTATCCAGACTCAGCAGTTAGATCCTGAAAAGAATTGTGGATTTTAGAAAGAGCTTCCATTACTCCTCTGCTCTCCATGCAGGTTTTTACTTTCCTAATATTTCTTTCTAAGGTGTGTTTGATTTGCCTTCCTAGTAGCCTTACCCTGAAGGGAACCACAGAACAAAACATTGCTGAAGACATCCCTTTCCATTGCTTACGTGGACCTGATTCACTAAGAAAATAGGAAAAGGTGAAATGAAAAACATTCTAGGGAAGTTTCAAACCATATAAGGAAACGGGTGAGCCACAGCTGTGGACATAGATTTTTTTTTTCTTCCTTTTTCTTTCAACAGGGAGACACATCGCCTCTTCCTCCTGCTGCCCTAGACTGTCTGCGGCATGATGTCAGGGTCGCTCCTTCTGAGAGCCAAAAATGTTCCTTCTATTTACCAGACGTGAATATCACCCACGGCTTCCTCTATCCTCCTGGTCAGTAGAACTCTTTTAGAGCAGTAGCTCAGAAAGCCCTCATCAGCTGGATGTGGGCATGTGTCTTAAACATATATTCTCCACCAAAACAACCTGCTTGGGTTAAACAAGCTGCCCAGGAGGTTTCCAGTGGTTGTGGACTGGCCAGAAGCTGCCCAGCAGCTAAAATAAAGTCTAATAAATTTTGCAGCATGAACCACAAAGCAGCTCTAATCTGGTCCAGATGCTCAGAGGGTTCGTCAGGTTTAAGTTTAATTATAAAACTGAAGATTCTTTGGAGAGGGGCACAGGCCATCTAAAAACAAAACAAAGCCGAACATTTGTTCTGGCTACTGCCCAGCTCAGGTCTGGACTGAGCCTGAAGCTGTGCCTGTGAAAAGAAATCAGACCAGAATCTGGACTCTCACTCCTACTGGGTGTCCAGCAGTTTTAAATAGTGTATTAAGAAGCTGATTAAAGTTTACGTTTTTGTGGAAAACATCTCTCTTGGGGATGTCAAAACTCAGTATGATTTTTTTTCCAAAACTAGCATGTCTTTCCTGCTTAGCCATTTTCATTAACTTGCCCAACAGATTTGAGCCATAGCAGCTCCAGGAAGTTGGTTTTACTTCATTTTTCTTTGGTCCGTGAACAAATGCGGTCAATTTGTAAACTCGTAATTTAGAGATTCAGAGATTTAGAGTGAGGAAAATATGTAAGGTAAACAGGTAGCACATCCTTTAAAAATCCCTTTTACAGAAATGCAGGATAAGGTTGAGCAGTCTCCTTCTGTGAGATTGACTGCCCACCAGAGGGTCAGCAATGGGTTGGTTCCAACTCAACAACAACAACACAGAAATAGGATAACGAAACCGATAGTTAAGTATCTTGATGTAATTAACATATCTAGAACTAATAAACTCTAGAATAGTTAAAAAACATTGTTAATATATGTTTTTAAATTGAAACTACAGTTTTAAACCATTAGATATTGTTTGAGATGTGAATGTTTGCTTTGATAAGAGGAAAATGAAATAACTAAGCAACAAATATTAAGAGGAAAATAAAATCCTCTCTACCATACACTCCAGATTGATCCTGGAGAGAGTTAAACTGGGCTGCTCCTTGGAGGCAAGGATTCTGAGGCTTCATCTGACATACTTTGGTCATGTTGTAAGGAGAGACCGGTCCTTAGAGAAGGACATCATGCTTGGGAGGGTAGAGGGCAGGCGCAGGGGGGGAAGGCCCTATAGGAAGTGGATTGATTCAGTGACTGGGATAATGAGTATGTCAGAGACAATGAGATTGGCACAGGACAGAACAGCGTTTAGGGCTGTTTACACAAGGTCGTTTATAAGTCGCAAGAGACTGGACGGCACATAACGACAACAACCATACACTCTAGCTAATACTGAAAAAATTCTTATATATTACCTGACAAATAATTTTGTTTTTTACAATTTTAGATCTCAGTATTAAAGAGAAGTATTTATTGATATTTTTATAGCCTTGATCTCCATGTACAATCTTATAAGAAAAAGACATTTCTTGTTTTTTGTTGCCAACCCACCAGATTCTGGTATATGTATTGAGACACAGATCCAAGTGTATATTAAATATAAAAATAATATAGCAAACATTAAAATGTTTTCAGCTCTTAATACAGACATTTTATGAGATAAAACATCATGTGTCAAATCAAACATGGAAGGACCAGAGCCTTTGCCCATAAGACACAGCTGAGATTCTAGGCTGGACAGTGTGGATTCAGAGCACCCATGCTTACCATTCACCATGTTAGAGTAACGTTCATCTATTCTCAGAACTGATCATGTGCAGTGTTCCTGTCACTCATCTTTACCCCAAAGAAATTTTATTATGAAACAGTATTATTTATAAAAGGCTTTGTGGTTTTTTCCACATTAAATAACTATGCATCCATATCTGGCATTATATCCTTTTTCTAGGATTGCCATGACACATTTTCATAAGTGTGGTGACTTCAAACAATGCAAATTTATTAGTTTACAGTTCTAAGGCCAGAAGCTTGAAACTGAGGGCTCAACAGGGTCATGCTTTCTCAGAGGCTCCTAGAAGGAATGGTTCCTTGTCTTTTCTAAATTCTGGTGGTTGCCAGTGTTACTTGGCTATAGATGCCTCACTCCAGTCCCTGCTTGTTCTTTTTCATCGCCTTCTCTTGAGCATTTATTCTCTTCTCCAATGTTCCACACCTTTCTCTTTAGCAACATCACTTAATGGATTAATGCTACACCGTAAATTCACCATAATCTCATCTCAAATGCTAAATTCAATTACATCGGCAAAGATCCTCTTTCTAAATAAAGTAACATTGGCAGAACCCAGGAGTTCAGACACAGACATATCTTTTTGAGTAGTCACCATTCAACCTACCATAGATAATCAAATGAATACAACTCCCTGCATTATTGATGAACCTCTGCTAAATAGTGCATAGTATTATGATAAAGTTGGCACTGATTTAATATTTTTAAATTCACAATCAACATTCTTGACCAGCAGTCAAGAAAACAAAAGATGTGTAGGGTTGGGAAAATATTCTACCAACGACCTCTCTAAGATGTTAGGAGCAATGATGTTAGTTTAAGAACTATGGTGCACCTGATTCAATCTATAGTCCTTTCAATTACTTGTTAGGCATCTGAAAGTTGGAAGATCACTAAGGATGACAGAATAATTGATGACTTTGAGTTGTGGCTTTATAGAAGAGTGTACTGGCTAGCTCATGGGAAAAGAACTAACAAATATATCTTAGAGAAGGTGCAGCCAGGGTGCTCCTTGGAAGCAAGGATGGTGAGGCTTTTTCTCACATATTTTGGGCATATCATTAGGTGGGGCCAGTCCTGGAAAAGGACACCATGTTTGGAAAGGTAGAGAGTCAGTGAAAGAGAGGAAGACTCTTAACAAAATGGTTTGACACAGTGACTGCCACTATGGGCTCAAATATATCAGAGATGAGGATGGGACAGGATGGGGCAAGGTTCAGATCCATTGCTTACGGGGTATCTATGAGTCAGGGTTGACTTGATGACACTTACCAGGAACAACAACACGCAGAAATAAGCCTTTTATGCTACATATCATAGTGGTTGTTTAAATGGTTACATTTAATAAAATGTCTTTATTTTACAGGAAACAATAGAACTTCTGAAAGTCAGTATGATGCTTTAATTACAAGTAATTTTGTCCCTATGTATGAAGAATTTGAAAGTAAGTATGTTTTTATATTATCTTTAAAAAGACTAAATGTTTTCCTGAATTCCCAAATTCAGCACACCTTTACTGCAACTTGTTCCAGATGGTAAGAACTATATTGTTCTATATTTTAAATCTAGGTATAGGAAGGATTCCTGGCATAGTTTTCTTTTGAACGTACTTTTAGTTGTGATTGCTTTGTTGTTCGAATTTGGATAACTTATTTTCAATCTCCAATTTAACTACTCACTACTTATGTGTCTGTTTATTGTAACATGATAACTTATGTGTTGCTGTGATGCTGGAAACATCAAAAGAAGATAGAGAAATTCACAGAGTCACTGTATCCAAAAAATGGATCAACATTCAGCCATTTCAGAGAGTAGCATGTAATAGAAAAACATGATGATAGTGAAAGGAAGAAGTCCAAGTTGCAATGAAGGCACTGGTTAAAATCAAGTCTTTGAGATCTGATAATCGAGTTGTTTCAACAAAAAGAGATAATGCTGGAGTTTTTCTTTGGTCTGTGCCAAGGAATTTGAAAGATAGCTACCTGGACAACCATTAAGATTTATATAAGTGCCAATTCCAAAGAAAGGTGACACATTATTTGTGAAAATTATTGAACAATATTAATAATGTGATAAGTAAAATTATTCTAATTCAAGATGATAATTAAAAAATGGTTATGTCAGAACATCAACAAAGAACTGTTAGAAATTCCAGTCAGATTCAGAAAAGAATGCAGAATGAGATATATCATTGGTGACCTCATAAGGATTATTGCTGAAATAGCACACCAGAACAATATTTGCTTGTGTTTATTAACTGTGAAAAGGAATTCAGCTGTGTGGATCATATAGATCAAAACAAACTATGGATGATTTGGGGAAGATAATATCTGATATTTCCAAAATACTTAATTGTGCTCACACAGAACTTGTACATAGGACAAGAGGCAGTGGTTTGAACAGAATATGTGTATGTGCCATGATTAAAACCAAGAAAGATGTGCATCAGGGTGATATCCCTTTCAGCAAACTTAATCTATACACTGAGCAAATAATTTCACCAACTGGGACATATGAAGAAGAACAAGGCATCAGGATTGAAGAAAGATTGATTAACAATTTGGAGATGACACAATCCTGCTTGCTGAAATCAAAGAACATTTGCTGATAATAATCTTTGGTCCCAAGATCTACAGTGTTCCATATGAATTATGTCTCAATGTACAGAAGGCAAAAATCCTTCCCTCACAACTTGACAATAAGTAATATCATTAGAGAAAAGATTAAAATTATCAAGGATTGTATTTTACTTTGATCCACAATCAATGCTTATGGAAAAGACATTTTAAGGACTAAAATTTGACTGACCTAATATATGGTACCTTTAATAATCTCATATTCATTTGAGGAATCTTGATGACGTGTGGATTAAGTGTTGGACCACTAACAAAAATATTGCGTGTTTTATCAGTTGCTCCATAGGAGAAAAATGTGGCAACATGTTCCTGTAAAAATTTTTAATGTCAGAAACCCTGTGGAACTGTCCAATTCTCTTCTAACGGTCACTGTTGACAGTCATTGTTGTTGTGAATTGTAGAGTCAGAACCAACGCATAACTGAACCTCCAGCCCATTTTCAGAGGCAGTAAATTGAACAGAAAGAGAACATTCATCTTTTTTCCCCCATGGAGCAGATGGTGGATTTGAATTGCTTGTCTTTGCATTGGCAACACAAGTTCTTATCACTAAGCCATCAGACTCCTTGTTGGAGCCCATAGGGCCATTCGAGAGTCAGAATAAATTCATCAGCAGTGGGTTTGGTCATACTCAAGGGAAAACTGGATAACAAATAAGGAATAATAAAAAAGAATTCATGAATATGAATTATGATATAGACTAAGAATATTGATATATGAACACATTATCCTCCCTCACCCCCCAAACACATTGTCTTTAAAGAATTACAACATAGAATGTTTTTTAGAAGAGAAAGTGGTAGGACTTTATATCATTTACTTTGGACATTTAATCAGGAGGACCATTTCCTTGAGAGGAACATCATGCTCGGTAATTAAAGGATCAGTGAAAAAGAGGAAGACCTCTTTTAGAGATCGATGCAGTGGCTTCTACAAAGGGTGAAGGTTATGAGGATGGCACAGGACCAGGCAGTGTTAATGTTATTGTATGTGGGGTCCCAATAGACTCAAGGCACCAAGTGATGCCATCTGACAACAATTTGACCATAAAGAGCTATTCACATATTTTACTAACACTCTAAATAGATGTTAAGTAATTGTCCCAAATGTCATCATTAACAAGGTAGTGATTTATTCTGACTATTCTTAACAATCACCCACTGCCCTCAAATCACCTTAATCCTAGGGAAGAATGTAGAAACATATTCAACTATAATGTCAAGACGGAAGTAACAACAGTAGCAAAAAGGTGTCATCAGTGTGTTTATGCATTTTTTGTTGGTTGTAGAATCTAGAAAATATTTTATAGATTTGCTAAATTAGCACTGCCAATTATTGAAACACAATTTGATGATAAATATTTAAATGTTATCTATAAAATATGGTTGAGATGGATACTTTAACACATTCTTGATTTTTTCTTTTTTAAAGAACTGTGGCAGTACTTTCACAGTGTTCTTCTCATAAGACATGCAGTAGAAAGAAATGGAGTAAATGTGATTAGTGGACCAGTATTTGATTATAATTATGATGGACATTTTGATGCTCCAGATGAAATTAAAGAGTAAGTAATATGAACCCAAATGAACTGTTTTTCATTTATCAATATGGCATCAGAGAAGAAAAATACAATACTTTCAATAAAAGCTCAGTACTTTAAATGTTATATAATACATTTATATACAGATTTACTATTGGCGACCTTGTATCTAATCTATTTAAGTATTTAGCAAATTTGCAAAAGGGTAAACTAATTGAGAAAAGAACAATGCTCCTAAAAAGTGTAGATATTTTTTTATTTAACAAGTTTCTAAAGTAATGGGAATGGGGAAAAAAAGTAAATATAAAAGTTAAGAAGAGAGAGCGCTATGTTCAATATGTTGTTGTTGTTGAGTGCCGTAGAGTCATAGACGACTCATAGCAACCCTATGAATGAAAGACCTGAGCACTGTTCATAGAGTTTCTGGAGGCAAGACATTTCGGAAGTAGATGCCACTCCTGCTTCCAAGCTTGTTTTAATAGGGAAGTTCCAACAAACACTGTCCATCATGGCATTTGGCACATTAATGCCACAGTGTTAGCATCACAGCAACCAGAGTTACCTCTGTACAGCAATGACGTAATTATTTTAAATGTTAGTTTTTAAGTGAAACAAAAAAAGATAATGAAACATTGATTACAAAATCTTTTTAAAGAATTGCCTTCTATGAGGTGGTTTGATTCAGTGACTTGGATAATTGGGATGGGAGGGTCAGAGACAGTGCGATTGGCACAGGACAGAGCAGAGTTTAGAGCTGTTGTTTATAGGGTCGCTATGAGTCACAGGCGACTCGACAGCACATAACAACAACAACAACATCTTACAGTTGTTTTTACACACTTCAGGTGAAAACTAAGGTAACTATCCCAAGAGGAATGGGAAGATGATAAAAGCATCTATCTCATAGGGAAGATTATAAGCTTCATTTTAAAAAGCTGGCCCCATTAAACTGTACTTCTTATACCAAACCTGATAATAATAATAATAATGGGTTACTGAGTACTAAGCAGCTTTAAATGTAACACTTGGGGATGGAGAATTTAGGAGATGAATTTCATTAAAAATATGAATAATGAGCGTACACAATTTCACTACATCCCCCTTGACTATATGAGGCAGTGATTTCCACTTATACTTTCTGATAAAGAAACATTTATGAAACCAGTTTGTCGCATGTGGACTTGTCTTTCTCCTGGCCCTTGTTCTTGTTTCAGTGTGTGCTAATCCTACCCTTCACATTAAATAATATTCCACAAAACAATGTTAAGTTCTCTTAGTTTCTGTTTATTGTTGTCATAGTGGCTGTAAACCAAGTGGGAGGAGATTGACCATCATTCTTCCCACACAGCAGCTGGTGGATTTGAACCACCTGCCTTTGAGTTGGCAGACCAACTCCTTACCCTCTAGACCAGCAAAGCTCCTTAGCTTCTGTTTAGAGATGAATAAATTGAGGCTCTTAGAAGTTCCACAAGGTTGAAGTTCCACAGTGAATAAGTAGAAAGGCCAAACTGTAAACACAAGCAGGTTTTGGAATCCACAGCAAGAGCATAATCCAAGATCCTTCATTTCAACCTCTGCTTTTTCTCATAGAAAAATGTCACTAAGAAATATAAAGCTGCAGAGGCTGCTTAAATGCAGTCATCCACCTCCCAGGATTTATTTTCTTGTTTTGGAGCTTTAGGGTATGATTTCATGAGATGTACTAGATAATGGGCCCCAAATCATATTTACTACTATATTCTTCTTCCTAGTTTATTGTGTAGTGCCTGGTATCTTAAAAGCTTGAAGCAACTATCCAAGGTACAACAGTTGGTCTCCATTTATCTGGAGGAACAAAGGGAGAGAGAGAGAGAGAGAGAGAGAGAGAGAGAGAGAGAGAGAGAGAGAGAGAGAGAGAGAGAAATATAGAAGGGAATAGATTGCATAGATTTGCTTTGATAAACATGAGTCCACAAGAAGTGGGTGGTGACCAGCTACCAATAATGATTATTTAAAACAAAGATTCTAGAGAAAAATTCTGGTTAAAATAGGGGGAAAGATAGTTAAGTACTCTAATATCTCACGAAATCCAAACTTTCTAAGCCATTGAGTCTGGATAACCCCCCTAAACTGTTACACTGACAAAAATCTTTAGACCTTGAACCAAAATATTTTCTGTGGTCTTTAGAACAAACAATAAATTAGCTCCTTTAGTAAATGCTATTTGCGTTGAACCTTATGCCCTTTTGGAGAACAAACTATATGGGGTCAAGTTGAAAACTCAGATGTGAGGTAGAAAATTTAGGGAACAGTGAGGTGGTTAGTGGGTAAGGAATAATTCAGAAAACACAAGAAAGAATAACTTCTACCAATTGAAGAATGT